GTGCCCTCCAAGTGCCATATTCACAAGTTTTTTGAACACCTCCAGGGATGGTGACTTTACCACTTCTTTGGGCAGCCTCTTCCAGGGCTTGATAACCCCTTCCCAGGACAAAATTTTTCCTAATATTCAGTTTAAACCTCTCCTGGTTCAACCTGAAACAGTTTGCTCTTGACCTGTCACTTGTTTCCTGGGAGAGGAGCAAATTCCTCCTGTAGTTATATATAGAGAGAAAGTCCCCGCTGAGCCTCCTTTTCTGCAGGCTGAGCCCCCCCAGCTCCCTCAGCTGCTTCTGGTGCTCCAGACCCTTCCCAGTTCCATTCCCTTCTCTGGACATGCTCCAGCCCCTCAATGCCTTTCTTGCCATGAGGGACCCAAAACTGACCCCAGGACTGGAGGTGCCTCAACAGTGCCCAGCAAAGGGATTGTCACTGCTCTGATCCTGTTGGCCACACTGTGGCTGGTACAAGCCAGGATGCCATTGGCCTTCATGCCCACCTGGGCACACGCTGGCTCATGTCAACCAGCACCCCCAGCTCCTTTCCCACCAGCAGCTTTCCAGTCCTTCTGCCACCAGCCTGGAGCGCTCCATGGACCTAAGGGCAGACCTGGCACTTGACCGTATTGAACCTCACAATGTTGGCCTCAGCCCACTGATCTAGCCTGTCCAGAGCCCTCTGCAGAGTCTTCCTGCCCTCCATCAGATCAACATTCAAAGCTCCAACTGGTTTATGACACATCTGGTGGACTGGACAACACCATTCCAGTGTCACAAGACATGACTGGCCAAACTGCTCAGCAGTCATGACAGCCCCCACCAGGCACTATTCCATGAATAGGAGCTCTGTGTAATGTCAAAGGAAATAGCAAATGGAATAGTGGACTCTGAAACTTAAGCAGACCGGCTGCATTGGTATAAACACTTTTGATTAAATCAAAGGAACAACAATCTAGCAAAGACTCTTGAACACAGTTATGGGTCCTCCTATGAATCTCTGAACTCTGGATTTCCAGAATATTGGAAGATACACAAATGAATGTTATTTTATATTTATATCCAAAGATGGAATACAATGTAAAGAGCACTTAGAATGGTTCAAGGTATTTATTCTCTCTGACATACTGTGCTGTGTTACTGAACAAAGTGAAACAGAGTAGTGTTTGATAATTTGATTGAGTTCAGCAGCACAGACAACAGTGAAATCCACATATCACATCCAAGATCTGTAAGTAGAGAGCTCTGTGAAAGGACAACTGTCATCAGATTTAGGTTGGCCTCAGAAAAAGTTAAGGTATGAACCCAAATGTCACTGTGCTTGCCCAGTGAATGGTTGTCCCTGCTCCCTTAGCTCAGATTCATGGAACATCTCTGGCTTACAGTTACTAGTGGTTACCCTCATTCCTCTAGTCATCATTAGCTGTATGTCCTGTCATAGGAATCTTCTCATATTATTTATAGGAGATTTTTTCACATAGCTAGTAAGAGACCAAAATTTTCTAATTATATCCAGTAACATCACTTTCCAGTTTTCAGTTCATTCAGTTTGCCAGACAATGCTTTGCCAAAAACAAGGTTTGCCAAAAATGCTTTGCCCAAAGACAGAGGAGGCATCTGCAGCATGCGCTGCCCAGGCTCTATAAAAGAGTTCTTGAAATTGTGCTCTCCTGTCTCCAGAGAAAACTTCATGGTAAGTGCACGTCTGTGGGTGGCAGAAAGGGACAGCGTCCCTGCAGTCGATGTCCCACTTCAGCCCTGCTGTCCTGTATCTGTACCTGCAAGGATTTGGCACCTGAAAGATAAAGCATGTTGGTTATTTTCACTTTGCAACCTGCCTGTGGAATTCTGTGCAGCAGTAATGAGGAATCTGCCATTTCTGTTTTACAGCATTAATCATCTTCCAGCCTGCAAGGTTCTTCTCATAGCATAAGAGGTAAGAACCTAATTTACTCACACTTAAGGGACAGAGGAAAAGGTTGAAGATTTCTGTAGAAGAGTTCTTCGTAGTGACAAATTTCTACCAAATTTTGTAGGCAATTGCTATATGCCCATATGTTCTTGGCCACTGCTCCCTTATGGGAATTGAAACATGCTGATGGTTGGGGAGGCTGCTCATGGCAAGCAAAGTGGCTGTGCTTGAAGCAAAGTTTCCAAAGTGGCTGTGCTTGAAGCCACTAGCCACTGCTGTCATGTCAGGAAATGCTTCTTGGGGATTCCTCATGTTTAATTATGGAACAGTGAGGTAAATGATCTGTTCTGGCATGAAGTCCAGACAGATAGAGCAGCAAATAGAACAGACTACAACAAAATCTTACAGACTTGTAACAAATTATATGTATTACTGTATATAAAAGTGGCCAAAAAATGTAAATGAAAATACTTCTCAGATGATACTGCAGGGTTATGTTATAATCTGCATGTGAGCCTCCTAGTAGGAAAATCGGTAAAAATGCAAAAATAACTAACCAACTAACCAAACACACAAAAAAGAAGGGGGATGTACTTCTCCTATTCCTATGAAACAAAATGGAGTAAACTAGAGGTTCTGCATATTACTAGAACTTCTGCAAATGTTTGTTAACATTTTGGTTATTTAGATAACTAAAACTTACAACATGCCATCTGCCTGTTTGTCCAACTTCCTAGGATTTCAGATACTTTCTATTTCTGGACATGTGGTATTTCTTTAGAAATCCAGTATTGCATTTAGATATCGAGCTTTGATTTATAAATTCTTAAACCAAGATTTCTAGATTTGCCTGTAGTTATTTTCACAATTAACATACAAAGAAATAATTGGTCATGCAGTATTTTAATGTAGCGTATTATCTGTCCTTATATTTGCTCACACACTACTTCCCAGAGTTGTCACTTGCAATAGATTTGTACCTTTGCCAAGGAAATATCATTGAAGTTGAGTTAAGGTGAGTGCCACAGTAAAATTTAAGCATGAAATCAAATAGAAAGTAAACTACAATTTAAACAATTACATTTTGGACAATGGAACGGGGGGGGATAGGTGGAAGTCTTATTTTGTTCACACAGAACAAATTTCCAGTCTGACTTTCAAAGATCTTTGAAACAGTTCTATTGTCCACAGACAGGATTATTTCTAATTTGGGCCTGTGTATATCTCCATTTAAACCCAGAAACAAATTTGTGTGTATCTCTAACGATACACATCTAAAGGACATAAACTGATAAGCAAAGGGGGTCCAGCTGGCACAGAGTGGAACAGCTGACAGCACATCCAGCATTCACAGATAGTTTCAACAACAGGAAACTGATTTTATGCATCTACCCACGCTTTATAGTCACAACCATTTTAAAAAATTTCAAAGACTGATGCTGCGATGCCAAGCAGTTTAAATGTATGAGAATGTATGAGAAGCAAACAACTCTGGCAAATGATTCAGAGCATCAGCAAAAGACATTATGCACTAGATAGTCCTCAGACCACTTTCTGGACTCACTTATCTCTTTTGTATAAATGCAAGCATGGCTTTTAATATTTTTATGGTTTAGTGGTGTGAATGTTCTCTTCCTGTGCATTGGGCCTCACTGACGCTTCAGTTCTAATTTGGAACCCAGCACTTAATATTTAATTGCAAGAGGACACAAAACATTCACAGCTTTATTTAAAGCTTTGAGCTTACAAAATTGCAATTGCTCTATTGCTATTGCATTCAATCCTAGCAGCACTCCTCCACAAATGCTTTCATTTAAAATTTTTCTGCTGAACTCTCCAATCTTCTGGGGCCCATCAATCTAACTGGAAAGAGGTATTTTTGAGGAGAAATTGGGGGTCCTCGAATTCAAAAGTTGTCCTGCTCAGCTTGACAAGGTGTAAGTGACTTAGCCATTTCCCAAAGTTATGTAGATGTCTAGAAAGGTAAAAATAAACACAAATCTTTCTGTTGGCACCTTCCAAAATTTGAATCACATTATAGAGCACACCAGTACTAGACAGATTTCAGTGCTGGAACTTGATATCTATCATCACCACTAGCAGCTCAAATGATACACGGAATGCATCCTCAGGAAGTGGGTAGATGGCAATAAACAAAGGGAGTTGTGAATATGCTACAGAGCAATGTTATCCTGGAGAAAGTCCCCAAAAGACTTCATCCTGGAGCCAACAAGAACTTCACAAATTTTAGAAAAGGCAAATTCCCGCATGTAAGAAAGAATAGCCCCATAAACAGGATACCTTGACTTTCATTTGTCTGGAAAACAACTTTGCAGAAGAGGGTCCTGTATCCTGGTGCATGTCAGAGTGTGCCTTTGGAGGAATGAAGGTCAACAGCACATGGTTAGACAGTCAGAAGAACAGCATAACCATCAGGTAAATGGGAGCAATTCTTTCCCTGCACTCAGCTCCCAGATCTGGGGCACTGTGTTCAGTTTGTGTTTCCTGGTGTCAAGAAAGACAGTGACATTCTGGAGTGAACCTAGTGGAGAACTTCCAACACTGGTAGGAGAAAATGATGTATGTGGAGAAGCTGAAAGGGTGAGGTTTGTCTAATGTGGGGATGAAATTAAAAAGTGTTTATCTTATTCTTATCTTGTTATTGTAACAAAAAGGAGGTAGGTATACTGTAGAAAGAGCCAGAGTCTTCTCAGGTGGGCAGAGTGAAAGACTGAGGGATAATAAGACATGGGTTTCAGCCACAGATATTTTAATTAGGTAGTAAATATCAGGGAAAAATCACCATCTGGGTCATCAGACATTAGCCTAGGATGCAGAGGGACTGAGATATATCAACTTTTGGACACAATAAAAACTTCACTGGAAAAGGCTCTTGGAACCTGGATCCAACATTTGTCCTGATTGCACAGGAAGCTGAACCAAAGAACTGCCTGAGATGCTTCCTAAATCAGAAACTCTATTCCATTTTGAGTATTCCAATAAACCATGGGGCAACAAAAAATGTTGGTTATTTGAGCAACATACCTGCTCTTCCACAGTGTTCTCTGCTGACAAGCTCCACCAAACAGCACAGCCATGTCGTCAGACGCCGAGATGGCCATTTTTGGAGCAGCAGCTCCTTACCTGCGGAAGTCAGAGAAGGAGAGAATCGAGGCCCAGAACAAGCCTTTTGATGCCAAGACATCCGTATTTGTGGTACATGCAAAGGAATCCTTTGTGAAAGGGACAATCCAGAGCAGGGAAACAGGGAAGATCACAGTCAAGACTGAAGGGGGAGAGGTGAGTAAAATGCAAGATTTACAAACAGCATTTCCTTCCCATTGTGGATTCTTAACTGACATCCATTCATGTCCCTTCCTGCCCTCTGACAGACCCTGACTGTGAAGGAAGATCAAATCTTCTCCATGAACCCTCCCAAGTACGACAAAATCGAGGACATGGCCATGATGACCCACCTCCACGAACCCGCTGTGCTGTACAACCTCAAAGAGCGTTACGCAGCCTGGATGATCTACGTAAGTGGCAGCAGCAGCTTC